CTGGGGGAGGGAGTCTCCTCTGCTGGACGGTCGCTGCATGTCCCAGCTCCCGGGGCGCGGGAGGTCGGGCTCCTTCCCGCGCCCCAGCCCCGCTCATCTCCCAGTGCGGGGGCGGGGCCGCGGCTGCGGGCAGTCCCCGCATCTGGAGGACAAGGCGCGGAGCGGGCCAACAGCGGGAGTCTCTCCGGAGGGGCAGCGACTTCGCCCTGGGATTTGGACTTGCCGCCGCCCAGAAAGCGATCGCTGGCCGGTGGCTACAAGGCAAAGTCGCGGCCAAGGTCTCGCGTTTGTTCCAGCAGCCGAAACAAGGAGGCCCCGGGAGAGGAGGGGACGCGGGCACGGAGCGCCCGGCGGGTGAGGGGGAGGGCGGGGAGCGTGTCTGGGCACTTACCTTCGCGGTGGGTTCTCCACGCCGCGTTTATGCAGAAGCGTTTATGCAGCCAATTCCTTCTCTGCAGTTCCCACGACTCAGCGCCAGGAGCCGCCGGAGCGCCCGTGGTTCATCTGGGGAGTCCAGTTCTCCGGTCTCCTCCCGCATCTGCCCGCCCACAGACTCGAGACAGTCACTGGTACCAACCAGGAGATTTCTGGTTCAGCTGAGGACGGAGAAGCAGAGAGCAGCAGACAGCTGACACCTGCCCATATCCGCGGGCTAATCCGCTCCCTCTGCAGCCAGCTGTGCCCTGGGTGTGCAGCTGCAGAAAGACGAGGGAGATTCATTCCCTCTGGTTCATCTCCGGGACCGGAGTAAAAGTTCCGCCCGGTGCAGAGACCCCGAGACCTTCCCCGCCAGGATGGGCGCAGCGCCGGGCTCCGTCCTTGTGCTGCTGGCGGTCCTCAGTGAGTCGGGGCGCACTGTCCGGGCTCTCTTTGACGCTGCCCACCAGCCCAATACCCGTCCCCTGTCTCTGGTGCTTTCCAGGCACAGCCCCTCCGTATTTCTCTGCTGTTTGGTCTGTGCATGTCTGTCTATCTGCGGCCCCTCTCTTCTCTCCCTAGCTTTTTCCGTGACGATTATCCTTTGACCAAGTGGTGAACAGGGGAGCGGGAAGCAGTGCGGGAATTCAAATCACTGGCATTTCCAGTCCATCCCTCCTCCTCCTGGCTTCTTTCCCAGGTGCCACGGGCAGAGCTCAGATCCTGCAGCCCGGCTCGGCAGAGGCGCCGGAGGGAGCTCCGCTCAACCTCACCTGCGCCCACTCCTCAATCAAGACGAATGAAAACGTATTTTGGTACCGGCAGTTCCCGGACCGCGGCCTCCAGTTCCTCGTGTCCGGGTACAAGGGCACCGTCTCTTCCTCCGCCCTGGAGGGCGCTCTGCACATCTCCGCCGACAGACGGGCCAGCGCCCTGGCGCTCCGCCGAGCCGGGCGGGGGGACGCGGCCGTGTATTACTGCGCTCTGAGCGACACGGTGCGACAGCCTGAGCCTGCCCCGCACAAGAACTCCCTGCGCCTGGGAGGAGCACACGGTTGAGGGCGAATAGCTCGGGAAGATGCGAGGGTGGGCAGGAGAGGGGCTGCGAGTCGGGTCTTTTAGGAGAAAAGGCTGGCTTCAGCGTAGAGCAACAAAATGGCTTTAAAAACCTCATAGGAGCAGCCTAATGCTGAAGACAGTTTCCCAACAGGATTGCTGACGACCAGGCACCCTGTCGCCCAGACAGACAAGGAAGCAATGTTAAAGGGAAAATCTGGCAATAAAAGTATTCTCTCCTCATGCAACCTGATCCTGACAAAATATCTTCATTAGAGCTGTGACTTGTCCAGCATACATTCAAGATGTGCCTTAAGAATCATCTCTCAGTCGTTTCAATCCTCTTTTCCATGCTTGGCGATATTGTCCGGCATTCTGATACACACACGAGGACCGGCATAGCATAGCAATCCAAAACTCTTAGCTTCGTCCCTATAGAAATTTTACTATCTGTCAATATATTTTTTCATTTTCCGAAATGCATCTTTTGCCATACCTATCATTTGTTCTATGTCGTGATCACTTTTACCGTCTGATGTTATCCAGCTTCCCACTTATATTTGTTGATCTCCCTTCTCTGTTCCTTATCTACTTGGATGTTACATACAGGAATTGCCTTCTTCTTTATAATTACCATACATTCTGTTTTTCTATCCTTGATATTTAGACCCTTCTTCTCGCTTTCACTAACAATTTTATCGCAAATTTCTTGTGACCTGCTGCCCAGCACAGGCCAGAAGAAGACGCACTGAGCTCTACCTAACCGACCCACGTTTCAGCCTTAACCCAAAGCAGCATGTGAAGAGGGCTATGAGAACCTACTCCTATATGTGACCAAGGCCAAGGCTCTTAATCTAGAATTCTTGATCTCTTAATCAAGAATGCAGAATGGGGTATGTCCTTCTAGGAGGCCTGTCTCTGCTCCCTGCAGCACACCTCCCCAATTCCATGGAGGCTGCAGGGGCAGCAGGATGGAAAGATCCCAGGCCTAAGACCATCCTTTCCATCCAGAGACCCGAGGGCCAGTGCTCCCTAGTAGTGAGATGGGGCACCAGGGGCTGCTAGAAGCCATGATGGAGAACTCGGGTGTGACAGCTGAAAATTATGTCTGTGTGACAAAGTTGCTTGCTGAAGGCTCTATGAAGATTAGACCAAGTGTTTTTTCTGTCATTTGTTTAGATATTAAGCTATATGTTGTTGCTAAGAGCCTAATTAAAGTTTAAGATGTAGTAAGGCCTTGTATGAAGTAAGGCCTAGTAAATTTAGCAAAGCCTTGAAGTAATAAGGCCCTGTAGCATAGTTAAAATTAACCTGATCAAAAGAATGCAAGGCCTGTACTGCTATTGGTCAGTCTAAGGACAGGTGAAATAAAAAGAATCTGAATGGCTATAAGTTATCAGCACAGCTCAGAAGTTATAAATTGGCTGGCACATAAAGAAATCATTCAAAAGGAAGATACAGCTCTGTGAAAGGGACGAATTAGCTGTTGACCTGGATCAGATGGCCTGTGGATCTCAAGGAGCCCAAGGACTGAATACCAGAGTTCTTCCCGGTACCTCTCGGACAGTGCTGTTCAAGGTTGCCTGACTTCACCGAGCTTTGTGGAAAGAGAAATTTGTCATACATCAGGCATCAGAGGGGACTGCTGATAAGTTGCCAACACAAATTATTATTGTCTGTCATTATTTGTCTTAGTATACCAATGTAGTCATGTTTTTGTTAAGTCAATAAACCTTTCTTATCTTTCTACCCTCCACCGTACTGTCAATCCTGGACCCTCCACAGGTGGCTGGGACACTTGGGCATTCAGAATGCCTTGCTTTTGGCTTTTATTATGTGGAAGCAGACAGGGCGGGCAACTCATGCCCCAGTGTCAGGGTCTTTTAGAATTTGTCTCCCTGGATGTAGGATGGGACACTTTCAGTTATTCCAGGCTGACAATTAGACACTTTTGCTAATGACCATGAGTCACTAGTTGAATCCTGCAGGTGGGGATGAATAGAACTGAGTACAAATCTTCCTTCTTGCCTAAAGTCAACCAGCTCCCAACATTAGGACCAGATCAGAACTGGATAGAGGATACAGGTCCCAGGTTTCATTCCACATTCTCCAGAATCAAGAAGTCCAGCTGTCCCAGGATGGAGCAGATCCCTTCTTACAGGACAAGACTCTGTATCCTATTCCCTGATCACTTTGATCCCACCAGCACCAGATCAGGGTAAGCATCCCTCCTGACTTATCTCGGCTGAGTTCCACTCTGCAAAGAGCTGGGTCACTATTGCAGACAATTCTCTTCTGAAGCATAGAACTTGAGTCCCCAATTGCTTGTATTACACTTACTGAGCACCAAAGGGAATTGATTAGGAAGAAACTCCTAATTAATCACTCACTCCGGATTCTACCACGAGGCCTGCTGCACTGTCCTGCCCGGATGGATACGGCTGTGCTCGGCGAAGGACCCACGGGGAGGCGGGGCTGAAGACAGGAGTCGCGCGCTGGGTTTTTCGAGCATCTCCTGTCAATGAGCCCCCAACCTGGACGGGTTTGCCGCTCCCGGCTCCTCTCAAACCCCTCCCCGCCGCCCGTGGGCATAGATCTCCTCTAGTTCGGTTCCCCTGACTCCCCGGTCTCCCTCGGGGAGCTGGAGAGTGGAAGCAGAAGGGGAAGGGTTCTGAGCGGGGGAAAGGGTCAGGACCTGTGCAGGGGCCGGTTTGTAGCAAGGACCCAGGGTGGGTGTCACGAGACATCGTGACGTGTGCCAAAGCCGGGGGAAGAGGCGCCCTCCGGTGCACCCAACGTCCGGGACGCTGGAGACCCGACGGGGCGGAACCGGAGCCATGAGGCTGCTGCTGCCCGCGCTCTGCCTGCTCTGCGCCGGTGAGTGTCCGCTCGGGCTCTGCGAGCCCCGCCGCCCGCCTGGCTCGCTCGGAGCGGTCTGGGGCAAAGCTGAATTCCGCACCTGGCTTCTTGGTCGGAGGGGCTGCATCCGCGGGAAGGGGCGCTGGGCTAACGACCTCCTGCCTGCGGGAGAAGTAACTCCCCGGGTGCTGGGGAGAAGTAGTGGGAGGCTGCGGCATTTCTGAGCTCCTTTTCCCAAGCTTGGGGGAGAAGGTTGAGGAAATCAGGGAGGTATCGACAAAGGAGACCGTGAGAGTGATAAGTGGAGCAGAACAAGATGGATGGAGGGAGAGGAGGGAAGCGCAGGTCGGTTAATGGTGCAGAGAGAGCGAGCCGGTAATTACGGCCTGTTAGAGCAAGTGAGAAGGAAAACGCAGCAGACACGCAGACAGAACCTGGGAATGGTGGATCAGCCTCATATGGGTTCGTCCTCCCGCCTTCCCTTGAGTGCAATTAAGATGCACTCACCTCCCTCTCTCTGCCCATCCATCTACATCCTCCCGGCCTTCAGAGGGCCAGACAAGCAGAGCGTGGAGAAAACTCAGGGAGAGGCGGAAGGAGGGATACGATGATAAACAGCAAATTCTTACCTAGTAATTTTTAAAAAATGCATGTTCATCCCCTCCAGTCTTCTGCTGCAGAGCCCAAGTGTCCCAGAGCCCCGAGGCGCTGGTGACCCGCGAAGGGGACCGCTCCACCATGGCCTGTGCTTACTCCAGCACTTTCCAGACCTTCCAGTGGTACCGGCAGGCCCCCTCGGGGGAGATCACCCACCTCCTGTCCGTTTCCGCCAACCGGAATGTCACAGAGGGGCGGTTCACGGGGGAGAGCCGGGAAGACGGCAAGAAGGGCTCCCTGCACCTGTCGCAGACCCAGATGGGGGACTCCGGCCGGTACTTCTGTGCGGTGCAGGATGCACAGTGACACGGGCAGAGCCGGGGGCCGCACAAAAACCGCCCTCCCCAGGCAGCCGGGACGGGCTGGGTACAGGAAGTACCCGTGACCAGTAGGCCCAAGTCCTTACTGGACATAATTTCTCCCTCTTTCTACTGGTCGCATTCACCGCTGGAATCAATGGACCAAGATCAGTCGGAGCAAATGAGCCGCCCCGGCGAGGCGTGAACCGGCCCGAGATTCACTGCATGTAGAAGGGGCAGAGTCAGCTCGAGTCCCGCAGGAACAGCAAGAGGAGAAACGTGAGAGCAGGAGAGAGACTCTTCCTCCCTCAGACCCGCACTCAAGTCCTCCTTCCTGCGCCCCAGCCCCGCTCATCTCTCCCTTCAGGCGAGGGGAGGAGGGAGGGGCCCGGCTGCTTGGAGTCCCCGGATACCGGGAGGAGAGGCGTGGAGAGGGCGGATAGCGGGAGTCTCTCCGGAGCAGCAGCGACTTCATCCTGGGATTTGGACTTGGCACCGTCCAGAAAGCGATCGCAGGTCAGAGTCTGCAAGGCATAGCCGCGTCCAAGCTCCCCCACAGGGTCCAGCGGCCGAAACAAGGAGGCCTCTGGACGGGCGGGACGCGGGCATGGAGCTTGATGAACCTGCTGCCGGGAGGTGCGGGAAGGTGACGGGGAGCGGGTGGGGATCGTGTCTGGGCTCTCACCTCCGCAGTGTTTTCCTTGCAGCACAGTGCAGCGAGTACTCCTTGCTTGCCTCTTCCCCCGCGGACCCGCCCAGCATCGACGTATTCCCGCACGCACGCCAAGAGTCTCTATCCTCCTAGTCTGTAACTGGTTCTCCCAGCCTCACGTTTCTGTGTTTCCCCGCCAGCGCCCGTATCCATATTGGCAGACAAGACGGACCTGGGAGGGACTCAATTGTCCCGATTGCACTCCGGGGCTTTGATGCCTCCCGGATTTCGTCCCTGGCTAAGGGACTCCGCTGAGTCTCACTCTCCGGGGGAGCTGCAGGAAACCTTTCATCCGCCTGTTCCTTCTCTGCAGCTCCCACGACTCACCGCCAGGAGGCGCCGGAGCGCCCCGCGCGGGCCCATGCAGGTCTCCAGCCCCGAGTAGTTCTTCGCCGAGTCCCGTTCTCGGGTCTCCTCCCGCATCTGCCCGCCCACAGACTCGGGAGGGTCACTGGTATCCAGCAGGAGCTTGGGAG